ATGTCTCAACACAGAGTTTCCAGCAACTGTTCTGTATCCTGATCATGATGGTGGTTACAGGAATCTATACCTGAAGTCAAATTGCATAGAACTAGACACACACAGACGATGTGCATGTACGAACTAGTGAAAACGAGGCAAATTGTGTAGCCTGGTTAACAGTATTGTACAATAGAAATGTTCTACTTTTGAGGCTTGCAAGGCCTTTTATCCTGTTCCACAATCACACTGTAATGAGTTTATGGCTTTGTCATGTCAGCCAACCTATATTTTATCCAATCTAATCTACATATCATTCAATCTAAATAAATGTAATCCTGCTTTGTCGCAATCACTAATTGGATTCAGGAATTCCATACACTCACCAGACAGCCTTTTAATATCCACATAGGCTGCTGGAGCTGCCACAGCTATAGGTCCTGCTCCCAGGCAGCCACTGCCTTCGCCATAGTGGAGCAGCAGTTGTGAGCATTAGCGCTGTTGTCGTATGCGCAGCCTTTTCCGTGAGGGCCTGCCAGGGGGTCCCTCATCAGGATGACTCGCCAGGCCTGACATTTTTAATTTCGCAGCTGCAGAGGAGACTCCCAGCGAGGCAAAACACTCTAGCAGCACCCTCCGCCCCCGACCCTCGCTGCGCGCTGGCGTAGTGTTCTGACCGTGCTGTGTGGTCGTTGCCAACGTGACGTCTATGTGGAGAAGTTCAAAAAGTTCGTAGGTACATTGTCCCCAAAATTCTAGAGAAGAATCCTGATTAGAGTCAGAAGTTTGAGCACCTAGATGTCGACAGAAGCTATGGGAATGAACAAAGTCGTCCATGTTTCCAGGGATGGAGGTTTAGTGATTGTGAAGTCATTTCAGGTTTTTCTTCAGAGATGTGAATGCGTAGGAAACCCTTGGCTTCAAAGATAAAAGATTCAAAAATGTCTGAGCTGTAGAGAACACTTTCTGGGAAACAACAACATGAGATAATCAAAGAGTGTACCTAAATGCCCCTTTTAATTCCAATCCAGGGAGATTTCTGCATCAATCCCAGTCTCCAGGAGGTCACAGGATTCTGCTATGATGGGCTCAACGGATCTGCAGCCTGGGCTTCCCCAAGGCTTATTGCCATGTCTTGAAGTCACTCAGCCTGGGGCAGGTCCAAGCAACAACCACAAATCCCCTCCACGATGGATGTGGCAGGCAGCACATGCAAATACCTACCACTGGTGGCTCTTGGGTTGGCAGCATGTGACTCCTGTGGCTCTTTGCTCCCTTGCAGTAGAAAGGTAAGGGAATAGAGGTGGTCTCAGGACATCCCTGGGACTGTTGGGAGTGGAATTTCAACTGAAGCCACCTGGGGTAAGCTCCCAGGACTCTCCTCTGTTTTTGTGTTGAAAGGCATTTTTGTGATGACTATTGACATTTTATTTCTCCTATGAAATAACTCAAAAACAGTAAATAAAGTAAAAACATATCTAGTATTTTAACCATTCAATATTTTAACCATTTCATGATTAACCATATTTTAATCATGCCATAAATAAAATTAAGATCATTCAATAACTGTCACTTTTAGTGTTTCAGAGGCAAGATAATGACAGCTATCCTGTTCAAGAAATGTTCTCATATATAAAGAATAAGAAGAAAGATCTCAAATTGGAACCTTGGAGAAACGGGCATTTATAGCTTGGTGGGGGAAAATGGCCTTTGAAACAGGCATTTATGGCTTGCTGAGAAAGACTCTCATTTTGCACTTATATGAGAGAGTGTGTTCATTTCCAGGATTAAACACCACAAGGTCTTCTGCAACCCAACATCCCTTCCCAGATCCAATCTGTGTTGTAAGTGAACGGAACTCTTGAATCTAATCGGTGTCACCTGAAATCAGGAGTCCCAGCAGAGCATCACCCCCATGTCTCACCTCCCAAGTGCCTTGCCTTCAACCACACTGTGCCGACCCTGGCTTCTGCTCCCGGAAGGGCGCACCAGGGCGGAGACTTTAGTGGGTGAGCTCAGTTCAGCTGCTCCGCTGCAGGTCAGCGTACACAGTCTGGCCACCAGCCACCGAAACCCCAGCAGAGCGCCAGCACCACATTTTCTAGAGTCCTTCGCTCTCACGGACAGCAGATCTCATTGGCCCTCGGAGGAGAAACTTGAGAACCTCGCTGTCTGGGCATTTTAACAATGGGCTCCCAAACTTGGTTGTGTGAGTGCCGCAGGTGTTGGAGTCACCCTGTATGGACAAAGACAGCCCCTCCGCCTCCCTCTCTCCAAAACTACACTCCCCAGAGGGCTGTGCGGTCACTTCCGTCCGCCACCTTAGCCCCCACCCCTAGCGGGGAGCGTTGGCGTAAGCAGCACTTCCGGTCGATGGGGCAGGCCTGCGTATTCGGGTCTTTCCCACACCTCTGCACTGCCTTATCCGTCCTTCGGCCTCAGGATCTGCACGGTGCACCCGCGTTCCGTGAGTGCCCTGTAGTCAATCAGCACGTCCCTCTCCCTTGTCCCGTTTTAGTCACGGAGACGCCCGCTGGCAGAGGCAGAGCTGTCTCTGAACTCGGGCGCTCTCCTGTGGGCACCTCCAGGCCATTTTCCTTTCATTCGAGCCCACAGGGTTAGAGACAAACCCTCACTTCGTTGCTGAGGGACAAGGGCTTCACTCCCTGGCCAGAGCTTGGGGCTGAGCTTGAGGGTGCTGGGTCATCCTGGGTCCCTTTTCCCGGGCTCTGGACGGGAATTGGGCTGCGCTGGTGATTTCTGTGACAGTCCCGACCCCCAGTGTGGGGCTCTGGAGCAGACTCCGCTTCACCTTGTGGGGAGGGAGTTTCCGCCTAGGCACTCTCTAATTTCTCTTCACGTCCCCAGATCTATCTTCTGAGGCTTTGCGCTTCTCCAAGGAGAGCACTCAAGAGACCAGGAAAACGGCCACGGGGCTCCTGAGAGCCAAAACAGAGGTGAGAATTACCTGTAATTCCATCTTGGCCGTCAACAGGATGGATCCCGTTGCCTTTTCTTGCCCTGGAGGCTGCCTGGTTGGTATTGGGCGAAGTTCATTCCTGGTCCTGGAGGACCGGCTCCATCTTACCCCGAGTCTTCCATCAGCATTCCTTTATGCTGCGTCCATACCTCAGTCATTCACGAAGTAGTTAATTGTGAACAACACACATGGAGTTTAAATAAAAGTACAGGGACATCCATGCTTAACTGTCTAGTGATATGAGTGAAGGGCAGGGACAGCAGAGATTTGAATTTGAAATGGTTAAGGAGGACTCCCAGAAGTAGGGCTGTCTCAGTTGCCCCTGAAGGGTTTGAGAATGTTCGAGAGTTGGGGGAGGCACACACCAGTGGGAGAAGGGCAGGAAGCATGGTTAGTCGAGAGGCTGGGCCACTGGGCACACTGCCCTTGCCATAGTGTGGGAGAATTATGGTGACTGACTTCAGGTTGATTTTTAGATGTGTACAGATGAAGATGCAGACTAGCTATCCACACGTAGAACAAGGAGGAGTTGGATATGGTCTGACCCGAATTTTACACTTGCAAGCATTTTCAGCAATTACCGATTGGGAGATTTCACCAAAAATTCTAGATTGTCTGCTTCTGTGAAAATAAATCTGTCCTAAGTGTGCACTGTTCTTTGGTGTCAGGCAATTTGAACGGAACAATGTCTTCATCATTTGGACAGGACCCACAGGGTCTATATACTGCACTTTCTACAATCTCCTTCATATTGAGGTTGAAACCAATTGACAAGCTAACCAGTTGTGTTAAATTTGTTGAAATAACGTAGGTTGCTGTCTAAAGTAGTTCCTTCATTGAAGATTTTCAAGGGGGGGTGTGTGTGTATGTTCTGAGAAGTAGTTATAAAGTCAAATCACCATAAGGATTAGGCAGGTACCAGAATAGTCATTTTCTTTCTAGCATTTAATTATGAACAGTTTTAAACATAAAAGAAAAAAATAGATTTGTCCATTGAATACTCATATATCCACCACCGCGATTCAACAGTGAATACCTCCTCATGGAACCTGTCTTGCTCTCTCTATCCTACAGTGATCTCTCCCTTTTGAAAGTCCTCTGACCCAGTGTTTCACAATCATAATTATACTTTTATGAGCCTTTAAAAGTACAAAAGTCCCAACCCCAGAGACTCTGACCTTTTTGATTTGTGGTGGGACCCAGGAATCTATAATTTAAAATACCCGGGTAGCTCTAAAGTACAGCCAGAGATGAGGGTTGAGAACCACAGCCCTCACTCATCTGTACTCTTCATTTGTGATTAAGTACATTGGAACTGGTTGGATTTGGGGACAGCTATTAATGTAAGGGTGTGGCAGTGTGAGTAGAGTCTTAAGGCCATTCTACAACCCAGCCAGTGTAGAACATTTGAGCTGGTAGGGGACAGGAAATTTAGGGAAATGTCCCCAAGAGGGGAAGAGCCCAGGGGTGGGGGGGTATCGCATGGGATTAGTTTGAGAGACACAGTGTCGTACCCTCAAAGAGTGATGGATGGCATTCTAGAAGGGGATGCGGAATCAAATCACCAGCAAGACAAGGCATGTATAATACCTAAATGAATGAAGCTGACGAGGCAATCTGTCAACAGCATGCCTTGATTAGTGGACCCCCCAGTGTAAGTCACCTTCGGCCAGATGTAGTCCTGCAGCAGTGCAAAGCCCAGGATGATCAGATTTGTGTATTTTTCAACAGAACCCCTAAATTGAGATTTTCACATGAAATTTTCCAATATTTAATTGATATAAACAAAAGTTTTAAAGCAGTCTGTGAGTCAGACTAAACCGAGTTATGGACTGCAGATTGTATCCTATTTTAAAAGACAAAATAAGTGTTGAGCTGGAAAGAATCCAAAAACTAGATTTTGAGGCTCATTTGGGCCTGGAAACTTCCACTAACTTCCATGCTAAGGACCATTATATATTCCCATCCTCCAAAGTACAGCTTTCTAGGTAGCAGAGGTTCATTTGAAACTTTGTTGGTGGAATAATAAATCATTTTCAGTCATTTAAAAATATTTGCTAAGTGCAGATTCCGTTCTAGACACCAGAACAATAGCAGTGAACCATGCACATGGAACTTACAGTCTAGTGGGGAGTCAGAAAGTAAAAGTGAATAAAACATGTATTATCTTAGAGCTAAGGGAATAAAGCAGGAGAGGGGAATAAGACCCACCTGAGTGAGGGGAAAGGCATTTTATATAGAATGGCCAGGGAAGGCCTCCCTGAGCACTTATGGTATGCAGCAGCCATTGGTTGTCTGAGTTCTTTATAATCATCAACTCATCTAATCCTTAACACAACCCCATGAGGTAAGCACTGTTATTCTCAGTTCACAGAAGGAGAAACTGAAGTGCTAATGGTTAACTATTAATAATCTGCCGGAGGTTACACTAGCAGGGGACGGAGATGGTTTCCAAGTCCAGACAATGATTTGAGTCCACTCTTTTTACCACCACTCGCTTTGCCTTATTAGGCCTGAGCAGGCAAGTGGCAGTGTGAGGGAGAGAGTCCTGCTCTATGTAGTGTACACATTGGTGGGTTATTTACTACTCCCTATCCCCGGCTCTGCTACTTCAATTAGAACATAAATGCTTAGACGCAGTAGTCTCAGACATTTTCAAACTCACCAAGATGATTATTTGTTGTTTAAGAGAGAGTGTGTGTGTGTGTGTGTGTGCGCGCGCATGCGCGCGCGTGTATGTGAGAGAGATCCCCTTCTCCCTGCTTAGTTTTAAGGCTCCCTGTATGTAGGAACTTTCGTTTTGTTTTGCTTTTATCCTTCACAGCAGCTAGCCTGGGATTTTGACAGTCATAGGTGCACAAATGATGCTAGCTAGATAGAGATAGGAGACAAATGGTCTTTGACCCCTGGGCACCAAGGTCACAATCCAAAGTAGGGTGTAGAAATATCTACTACCTCCCTCAAGGAAGCCTTTTGACCTCTCATCGTAAGCTGTGAGAAAGGCAGACTCCTGGACGAGCAGGGGTGTGTTTTGTGTTAAAGGTGTTCGTGGCGTTCAGGGATGTGGCTGTGGACTTCACCCAGGAGGAGTGGACGTTGTTGAGCCCTGCTCAGAGGACCCTGCACAGGGAAGTGATGCTGGAGACCTATAACCACCTGGTCTCACTGGGTAAGCAAGGCTTCCCCTTAGCACTTAAAATTGTCCCACAAGGCATTTTCCACTCATGATAAGGAAAGGCTACCTATGGAGCACCTTTGCCTTAAAGTTGGGCTTAAAAACAATAATTTACCTTTTTCCTCTGGGTAAATCCGGATTTAGTAGATTCGAAAGCAGATAGATTGGCTTATTCATGTCATGCATGACACTGTATTTCCAGGCCTCTTTCCCAAGGCTGGGCCTCTCTCTTTCCTTTATCTTGCTGCAAACCCAGGAGATTTTTCATCTACCAAGTGTTAAAATGCTGCCTTTCTGATTGGAATCACTTTTCCTTATTCAACTCTTCTCCTTCAGAGAGATAGCTATTCATAAGCCTTTTGTAACTTCTGGATTTCCCCACCCATTTTAGCTCTGAGTTCTAAATGTCCTCTTGAGCCCATAACCAAGAAACTCCTTGTTTTCTCCCCTATGAACAGAAATTCCATTTTCTAAACCAAAACTCATTACGCAGCTGGAGCAAGGAGAAGAGCCCTGGAGGAAGGAGAGACAATGTCTGCTGGATGTCTGTCCGGGTGAGTATGGGCCCAGGGTGGACTGGATAGTGTACAGCTTGGCAGATAGCGAAGGAGGAGGCATCTCTCAGGTACTGGAAGGAAGCTCTTCCCCAGGCTTCCTAGGACTGGTAAGGCTGCCTGGCATGGCCTTCCTTTTGGGATATAATCTTTAGTTGAGGGAGGGACTTTCCTGGTTTCCTTGTCTCTTCCTTCCACCATGAAGCTTCCCTTCCTCCCTTGTCTTGCCTTCTCCATAATGCTTAGTCTTTCCTCATTCACGGCTTGCTTTCTCTCCTGATCTTAAAAACTGCACCTACCTCATGACTATTAAGTCTACCACTCTTCTGGATACTTTTTCAGTTTCTCTTATGCTAAGATTAATTGATTATTTCTACCTCTCAATTCCCATAATTAAAAAAATTATTACATAATACTTAAGATTATAGCAAGCTAATAATAATAATAAAATACATACTAATGTGTAAACACCCGAGCTTGAGAAGTAAAACACTACAGTTGAAGCCCCCATTCCCCCTTCCCAGATTGTATCCTGTACCTCCCCACGCCCTTTGAGCAGGGGCTCAAAGAGAACTGTTTTTCAACATTAGGGATTTATAATTCCCTTGCATGATTTTATTCTTTACTTCATATATATGGATCCCTCAATCATCTATATTGTTGTTTGGCATATTTTTAAACTTTAAACATTATATATCAATGTCATCATATTATATATATCATTCTATAGTTTGCTTTCTTCACTGACACTAATTTTATAAGATTTATCCATGTTAATATATGTAGCTCTACTTCATTCATTTTCATAGCTATATAATATACTATATAATGTACTGTATGCATAATTATAATACAATTCATTTATTCATTCCATTTTTGTTGGACATTTATGCTTTTGCCATTCTTTTAATAATTTTTTATAACTTCTACCTTTT